GTGTTGATCTTGCACAGCAATGGGAACGAGCGTTTCTAGAAGCTGTTGCTGATTTCCCAGCAAAGTATCTTCATCTTTCACGCTACGCTTCATCCACGTTGATCAAGGAAATGCAGGAGAATGTGGTGGTGGGCCGTCCGTACTTCACAGCCATGATTTCTATGATGATGGTTTTCTCTATTAGTGCCTGTCTAGCTTCAGACTGTGTGAGGAGCAAGCCCCTACTTGGCGCGGCCGGCTGTCTGTCCTGTCTGCTGGGTGTCGGGACAGGGATGTCGATCTGTCTCCTGGCTGGACTTCCTTTCTTTACCACCAACATGTCCATCCCCTTCCTGCTCTTGGGTGAGTCTATCTACAATCTACCTTCATTATAACATAGACACTTATAGACAGAACTTAAGGAAGTGGAAACTCTTTGATGTCGCCTGTCTATTTTCTTAAGGAGATAGACACAATTTTGTTCATACTTGATTATCTCGTGTGTCTTCAATAAAGATCACTGCAATATCTTTCAGAGTTATTGTCTGAATTCCCATATACATGCTAAAATGTACAACTTTCTTAAGTTTTGCTCATTAGTGTATACATATTTACATTCATGGCAAAATAATGTTTCATGTTATTCTACCAGTTCCTTCTTGTGTTGCACTTTCTATTTCTATTAATGATTTAAAGTAAAAGTTATAAGCTATTTTTTCACAATTCATATTATTATTTATTTGAAATTTAAGTTTTCAAGATAAAATCTCTCTTCTCTTATATCTTAAAAAACATCGACTCTTTTTTTTTTCTAGGACGATTTTTCATGTGTACACGCGTGTAGTATGGGTATTTACATCCTAAATTCCTTAACTTTCTATTTCCCTTCATTTATTTCAAATAAAAACACACACAACCTTTATTACAACACCAGTCTTATACAGATTCTCCTCTCTCATTGCCGGCTTACAACGATATCCTCACGATGATCAATCACCATCATGTAGTGGAAGAGATAAATCCAAGTTCCTACTCAGTGCTTTGTAAAAGTTATATAGGGACAGAGCAACCATTCGACTTGATATAATAAGTCGGTGGATGAGAGGGTAACACGCTCGATTCCCGACAGTCATGAACCGGGATTGAATCCCGCGTTAAAATTTGTTTAATATGTGAATAACCTTCACATATTATTCACTGTTTCAATTATCATGAACTAGGTTGCTCTTGCTGAGCGGTACCTATTAATGTGATTTTGAACCAGACTTGATATGGCGCTGGTACTTTGTACTGAGGTAAGTTGGCTGTCGTTTACTTTTGAGAAGAACATTTCTCTTTCTTCGTTAAATGTATTTCGAATACTGTGAATACATGTGTGTGTGAATACTTTATATCATTGAAACTTTGATTCAAATAAAGAATGTTGTTTAGCAAAGAAATCAATTTGCTACAGAATCTGAATTCAACCAAGCCAGATCCATCGTCAAGATTCCACAAGTTGGTTCGAAGAAAGAATACTTAAGGAAGAAAAGAACTAAATCTCCTTTCAAAAGATGAGACAAAAGATGTGGAGCGAGCGAATGACAATGGGAACAACCCGCCATGGAAGAAAGGAGAAAACATTATAGAGGATATTAATTCAATGTTGTTCCTCCACAATAGAACAATGATAACCTGTGATGATGATTCACCATTCCCTCAGTACTTTCTCTTTTCAAATTTTCAGATGAAATTTTCAACAATTATTGACACAGAAAGGTAAAATATATTGTAAGTGCATGTCTCTTATCCACGCTTGGTAAATCACCCTAGCGTTCAGTTCAGTTCTTGTGGAACGACATAGCATTTGTTATCCGCCAATTTTAAACAAGATCAGCACACAGAACTTCAATTCTCTTTAAAATTGAAAGACAAAAATAAAATATTGGGAAGTGAAATAGATGCGGAGTACTTAGAAGATATTTAAATAGCACGGTATGGGTGTATGTGAGTGTAATTGAACGATTTTTTTTGTTAACCCAAGTACACGTGGTACAATCTCTGATAATTATGGTGAGTAGTTTGCGATTGATTTTACTGCAAGTGCACCCCATGTCTAAACATGTAGAACTTTTTGCATTTAAAAATGTATCATAGCCACTTATGGGTACTTAGACTCTTGCACTTTTACAATAATTGAGTTCGTTGAAGCATTTTTTTTTCTTCAGAAAAAAAGGTCCAATGCTAGATTCGACCAATGGTTGTTGCTATCTAAAATTGACGGTTTTTAACACTCCTCCACTAACCTACAATCAAAGTCCTGTAGCAGTCTACATTAGGTGTCCATAGGAGAACAAGGAGGAAGGACAGGCCATATTGTCCTATGGTCAACGCTAGATGGACAAGAGAGTGTACTAACCAATAGACACATCTACATGAGGTGTTCATAGGAAATCAAGAAGGAAGGAAGGACAGACCATATTGTCCTATAGTCAACGCTAGATGGACAAGAGAGTGTAACAACCAATAGACACATCTACATTAGGTATCCATAGGAGAACAAGGAGGAAGGACAGGCCATATTGTCCGATGCTCAACGCTAGACGGACAAGAGGCGAGAGTGTACTAACCAATAGACACATCTACATTAGGTATCCATAGGAGAACAAGGAAGAAGGACAGGCCATATTGTCCTATGGTCAACCCTAAATGGACAAGAGAGTGTACTAACCAATAGACAGGACAAGTCAAGGCCCCGGGTCATGTGTAATCACAAGGGTCCGTAAACAAGACGTTGGCCTCGTTCGTTGCCTTAGGGATTCTTAGACCTTGACATGGTGACGTAAGGCTCGCACATGTCTTTTAATCCCCTGGAATAAGAACATGGCCTTGAAGAATCGCCCTTGTTTGAAAGCTTGATCGCAGGAAACTTTCCACAGTGCTGGTGGCAGCTTTCTTTTTTCTGCTAGCTGACACGTTCAATTAGCGCCCTCCAATATCCTTGTACCTCGGTCAAATATTATTTTTTTATTTCCTAGAAGCGTGTATAATAATAGTTATTTTCTCGGGTAAAAACACGCGCTATTTTTAAACATGAGAAATACGTGTGTTTTATGAATTATTTTAATAATATAAGTTTTTTATTCATATGATAGATGAATGTTTTAATAAACAATTCAACAATTGCTATTCTGTGAAAAAATAGTACAAATGTAATATTGTACTGTGATAAGGTGCATAAATTAAGAAAAAGGCTTCTTCTTATCGAGCAACTGAAAGTTGCTGATGGCTTGCGCCATCTATCGGAATAAATATCAACTATTCTCGTTGATTTTTAATTATTCCAGAATTGGCCAAATACCCATTCTTGATTAATCATAATTGCTATTCTATTAAATATTAATCTATTGTTGTTTTCTATTGTTGTTTTTTATTGTTGTTTTTTATTGTTATCTTGCACATCCGTCTCTATATGGCAACCTTTTGCTGTATATTTAGATCAGCAAGTTTTACCTTTAGGCCATAGTATAGAGAGATTAGTAAGAAAAAAAAACAATAAAATATATCAGGAAACAGGCTAAATCAATGATTAGTTGATTTCTGTTCCCACAGATGGCGCTCTGCCTTCTGAAAAGTACATGTGCTCCTGGTCAGGATATGCCTTTTTTATTTTTAATAGATTAGTATGTAAGTAATTTTATTTTTTTATGCTGTATAGTTTTCGTTTTTATCCCTTAAAAATACATCTATCCCCCGATTTACACGGTAGATACGTTCCTGAGAAAAACGTGTAAATCGGGGGATAGGTGTACACAGAAATAAAAATAAAATGCATTGACAGGTTAAAATATGTAGTCAGCACATAAGCTCGGGATTCCTCGTGAGATGTGAACACAGCGCATGTGTTCAATCACAGTAGCATTTAGTATAGTGCGATAAAAACAACAACAAAAAACTTATTTGGAAAACCGTGTAAAAGCGAAAACGTGTAAAACAAGTACCGTGTAAATCGGGAGATAGGTGTATATTTTTCTTTATTAAAATACCTTAAATTTGAAGATTACATGAGTAAGTATTTACCTATTTCAGAAAACAACAAATAATCACCTTTTAAGATATTTTCATCATATCTAGACTCGGGTTGTAAACCGTCGATTTCCGACATTCAGGACCCGGGATCAAATCCCGCATTAGACACTTTTTTTCTGAATAAAAAATTGCTTCAATGACCCCCGATACTTACAAAAGTCCAACTCACCAGTTATTGCAAGTAACCAACTGGGGCTCTGGCCCATTTGTAAGTGCAAATGTCGAACTGCTTTCTAAACGTGTAGATATGTGGTGCACTTATAGTACAAGCTGTAAGCTGTAGTTGTCTAAACATAACCGAGATATGATGCACTAGCGCGCCATCTGTTATCAAAATTCGAAACTATTTTAAAGGCGTAAGATTCTTTTTGAAATTAAACAATTTCTACTGCCTTTACTGCAATGGAAAAATTAATGGGAGGGCCTGGCTCATCAGTGGTGAACCCTTCCAGCGGTTTCGCCAGTTTAATCTACTATACCGCTGTTATATTGCATTTTTGGAACTTTATTTTTATAGTGATACTGTAATTCTACTATCCTCAAAACGTATGTCCATAGTTCTTCTAAAATACCCATTCCAAGAGTCTACCAACAGTATCACTATAAAAGGAAGTTAAAAAAATACAATATAACAGCGGTATGGTTGATTAAACTGGTGAAACTGCTGGGAGGGTTTACCACTGATGAGCCAGGCCCTCCCATTAATTTTTCCATTGCAGTAAGGGCAGTAGAGAGAGAGAGAAATTGTTTAATTTCAAAAAGAATCTTTAAAATAGTTTCGAATTTTGATAACCGAGAGATATTTGAACAAGCTAAAACTTAGCATCAAAATGATGACATTGATGATGATTTACCAATATTCCACCACAGATTATTCTGTGACAATATCATACAAGATATATAGAATAAATGCTCTATGAATCAAGGATTTAATTCCAATGAACATGTGGTCTACGGCCATACCACAATGAAAACATTAGTTTGCCTCCGATCACCGAAGTTAAGCAATGCCGGGCCTGGTCAGTACTTGGGAGGGTGACCACTTGGGACCACTCTGTGTGGTAGACTCTTTCTATTTTTTTTTTTCCCCTCCTGCGTCTTGAGTTAAACACGTTTCTATTTACGAATATATACAAAAGGGAACTAGTAGGCTCGACCTTTAAAAAATATGTTTAATTTAGGAATAAATTGCCTTGAATGAATTTTTTTTTGTGAAATAGCATTGCTCGAAGTAAATACATGTTTAAAACCTTTCCGAATTGCACCAAATGTCAGGATTCTCCAGCGAGCCCAGAACACATCACATCGGGCATTGCCGAACAGACATCTACACCGATCCAGCTGTGGTCATCGAGGCGATAAAGAGGCCTTCAGGATCTAGTCTAGACTTGAAGTCCAGACCTGGGACAAGGAAAAAAAAACTTACATGTAATTCTATTGTCTTCATAGCTTATGTCTATTTTTTTGGTTATATAAAAATACCATAACCAAAATTCAACCTTATATAGCCGAATATATAGGCAGAATGGTTCAATGCAATTTTAGAGTTATAAAAAGGAGGTATGGAGGATTAAACTAGCGAAATCGTAGGTTCACACCTTCTTTAATTTTTTTTAAACCTTTCAAAAGCCGTCAGTATTGTTTCAGTATTTGGTGAGTCAAGGTATTGGAGACCACAGACTATCCATACCGCTGAAAATGTTGAAAAGATAAAGGTTTTGATCATGAAAAATCGTTGAATAACAATCAGAGAGCTTTAAGAAACGACCAACATATCATTTGAAATATGACAGGAAATCATTCACAAAATTCTAGGTCTGAAAAGAATTGCAAGCTAGTTTGTGCTTCGTCACCATGGACAACGTACATCCGCACACAGCCCAATCAGTGCTTGCTTATTTGGCCAAAATCAACACCCCTCTCTTACATCAACCCCCTTATTCTCCAGATTTAAATCTTAACTTTATCCTAAATTGAAAATATAATCATGGAAGGAAAGAGGTTTGACACGAAAGAAGAGATAACAAGAAATTCGTTGGACGTCTTGAGGAACCTTACAGAGGACGCAGCATGTTTCGCTAGTTGGGAGAAATGATGGAGGCGATGTATTGATACAGGATGATCATACTTTGACAATTATTAACAAATATTTGTAATATTATTCAATATAGAATAAACTACCAGTCCCCGGGAACTTGATGATCATATCTTGTATATTCTTGGTTGCTCGAAGCATATTATATATTTATAATTGTTTTGAAAATAGAGCAATCCATAAATAAATCTTTAATTAAAAAGGCATATATTGGATCAAAATATCATTTATTTTACCAATATATCAGTTGGCTGAACGCCAAACTTTATCAAGGTGTTATAACATATTGGTAAAATAAATGATATTTTGATCGAATATATGCTTTTTTAATTAAAGATTTATTATTGTATGTAATTCCACTGTCCCCTCAAAGCTTACGTCCATAGTTAATCTAAAATACCCATTCCAAGAGTCTATCATCAGTATTACTATAAAATAAAAACCGAAAAATACAATATAACAGCGGTATGGTAGATTAAACTGGCGAAACCGCTGGGAGGGTTTACCACTGATGAGCCAGACCCTCCCATTAATTTTTTTCATTGCAGTAAGGACAGTAGGAATTGTTCAATTTTTAAAAGAATCATACGCGTCTATAATAGTTTCGAATTTTCATATACTTGGTTTGTTTTGCCCTTCTTCTTTCTTTTCTCCACTCAATCATATTAGGCTATCAAGCTTGTAAAGCTTGAGACTTTTGATGGTGTTTGCTGGGGATGAGTATACATATGCTCTTTTCTTACTACCTTTTATTTACATAGGTTGGCTTATTATTTATAATTTGAATATGTATTTACATATATCTGTTTATATAAAGATGAATGAGATTTCTGTTGTATTTTTTGGAATTATCTTGAGGATTATGCTATGGAATTATTTACTGGTTCTTTTTAGGACTAAATGGTATTGGTAATGCAGTCGTGGCAAAAATCTTGAAAGTAAAATAATAAAAATAGTGAAGATTAGAAATTGCTTTAATTAAGCTTATGAGATATATTAAAAAAAAAAAACATAATTTGGTAAAGGTAATGCCTGGCTTAAGGCGTAAGAATGAAAAAAATGAATAACTTATTTACATAATGTACAAAAGGTTTGAGCTGGCCAGCGGGGAACAACAACAACGAGTTTTTATAGTGAAAACGGCGACCTCTGGTGGTCGATTTAGCAGAGTATTTTATCTATGAAATATATTTGATAAACATATTTTTTTATATAACATATATACATACTAGTGCAAGATAGACTTACACAGTCATAGATGCTAGCCATTTATCCAGAGATAGGTTTGTCAAGTCATTCCCCCAGTGGTCACCTTTTGAAAATTTCACATTTTCAGTGTGTCACACATTTTCTCTCTGGCTTATGTCCAGCTTTTTATGAGTAGATGAAGCTTCTGGTAGCTTTGGCCTAGAAGGCAAAACCACTGCAGCTTCTCGGCTTTGTAGAAACATTGTCAGTCCTCATCGGTAAATTTTTTCGATATATTTTACAAATGAAATTGAATATCGTTTGAGATAGAAAAGCTGAAAGTTCAGAGAATAGATGAGTTACCTATTGAAATAACTAGAGTTCATTCCCGTTATTGTCCTTCACGTGTACCATGCAAAAACTCTTCCGCTGCTTCTCCAGAACGTAGATGCAAGTTGTCAGAGTTCAGCTGATCTTTCCTTTTCCAACAGTTTCACCATTGGACAATCCAACCTAAGCCATTGTAGACAAAGCTACTCAGTTCTATTGAGTCATAGGATCCTTGGCCCGATCTATGGGTCCATGATGTAATCTTCTGGTAGCCTTGTGCTCACCAACCAACCTTCAATATGTCATTAATATAAATACAACTTTAGTTTTTTTGACTTCTTTAATTAACCTCTACTAATTTGGTATTCTAACTCTTGATTGGTTGAGAAATTATTGCTATGACGTTATTTAATAGTTTATAATTAAGAATTTAATTATAGAGAAGAGATTTTGATTTCATTTTTTTAAATTTCATTTGAGAACCATTTTTTTTCTAGAGATTTACAGCAATGATAGATTTTATAAACTATTGTTTTCTTAATCAATTTATATAAAATGAAAGGATTTAAAAGCACGAATGTTTCTTTTATATACAATACAAAATTCTACTGTCCTTAATGCGATGGAAAATATATTGGGAGGGCTTTGCTAATCAGTGGTGGACAGTAGAAGTTTGTATTGTGTATAAAAGAAACATTCGTGCTTCTAAATCCTTTCATTTTATATATATAGATGGCGCGGTATTGCTTTGTGTTAATCAATGAATTTACGTTGAAAAGAGTTTATATAAAAAGATCAGGGTGAAAGAGTTTTTGTGTTTTTTGTCTTTTTCAAAAAGATAGTTGTCAGTTAGGCTATCAGTAATAATCAATTTAACGATCTGTTGGTACCCTTTCATTAATTATGAGTGTTTTTTCTTCAAATACCTGCTGAGAAAAAAAGACCATTTGTGCTGTAGGTACATTGGAAAGTTGGCATGAGTATAAGTGCAACGAATTAAAGCTTAAAATTCAACAAAGACGTATTTTAGAACAAGAGATAAATAGCTATTTTCAAGATGCTAGGTTACCTTAGAGGCTATACATTTTCTATATATGTGGTAATGTAGTAGTAGTTTATGCTGTTGGATGAATGCAGTGTGGCATGTTGGCTAGAAGCAGTCGTGGTTGTTGAGCGATGGGTGGTAAGGACACACAGGAGACAGGATCCAGAGGCAAAAACCCGTGAGGAAATAGATCGGGGAGCAAAGATAGAAGGTCCCAGAACAACCCCTAGAACAACTGGCGTCGAGGCCACTTCGGTGAGAACTGAACTTTGATCATCCCGTCTACCCGCTTATAAGCCGCTTTAAGTAAGATAAGTCCCCTAGGGGAGATAATGAAGTCGTGATACTTGTTTACCAAGGGGGTTGTTTGTTAACCTCGCTGTCTTCCCTCTTTCCTTGTATTCCCACACAGGCCATTTTATTTTACATATTTCCAAATATTATGACAGATGTCCCCCCTTTCAAAGAAGAATTTGTGCAGGAAATTCTTTGAGGGTGGGAAATAATTTGGCTATGTACAAATTAATTTTATGTGTAGGTTAATATGGTACAGAGTGTAGGTATGGACAATCATAGCTATGTACAATATGGATACGTGAATGAGGAGGTGAAGAGAATGGAAAGGTGGAAAGTAAGAGAGCTGTAAAGTAAGTGGTTCAACATTCTAAAATGAACAAAGGAAGCCATTAGAAAGAGGCTGGAGCAAATAGTCATCTCTGCAGCATTCGTCAACAAAACGTATTGAGACATTTTACAGAGATACTTTAGAATGAAGGAGATTGATTAGGCAGACAACTTATGTGCGGTTCTCTTGAAGACACTAAAATTAATAAATTTAACAAATAATGGACATGCACGTACGTGAAAAAGACCTTCGGGGTCGAGTGAGAAAAAAAAGTGTACCTTTGCGGTCAATTGACAAAAAATAAGACCTCTGAGGTCGAATGGTTGAAAAAAAAAAAGCCTTGACTTTCAGAACCTAAGTTTCAATGTAGGAATAGATACACTGCAGAAAGACTGAGAGGTTCAGCAAAAATTTGGTCATTGGTTCATAAAAAACATAAGTTGATATACGAAAAATTAAAAACAAGAGTTTTTTTTTTTTTTTTTTTCAAGAGCGATGGTGTAAGATAAGAAAAATTTTCGAGAGAACATGTTATTTAGAATAAAATAAGGCATTGTAAGCTTGAAAGCTTGTGGCATATTATGGTTTTAAAATTGATATGAGATAAGTTATTTAGAGCATGAACTGTGCTAAAAGTGGGCTAACATGGATGTGATATATATAACAAGCAAAAATGTTAACGGATGAAATCACAATAAAGTTAAACACTCACTGTTGATGGGCTTCTGTTGGACTTCGAAGCTGGGTTGTGTTGAAGACTTGGTTCATGTTGGAAAGTCCCGATG